GGTAGAATGAAGAACAAGAGAAATATGATGATGATGATGTACCGAGTTGTATCACATGTTGTTAAGTCTAGATTCCAAGTTCATGCTCAATCAAAGCCCCAACGACTCGAGTGGGAGTGCTGGACGTCCGCCCAAGTCAGCACATAATGACTGTTAATTGAAGAACGTAAGCCCACAGATGCGATCTTTGAGAATACTCAACATCAGATGAGTGATATTTTTCTTCTTCATGGCCGGCGGTGTGCAGACAAACCGCCTTAACAGAAACACGATCATATCAGAAGGAGCCCAAAGCAACGGCTCACCAGCTGATTCGCTGGCCACTGATAAATTCGTCAAAAAAATACCATGGTTGGCAGTGTTCTAACGTTTCACGAAACTGTCCGTTAAGCGGATTTGTTTGAGGCGTAATGGGCATGTGAGCCCGTAACGCCGTGCGCGCGCGCATTAGGACGTGCGGTGCCACGGAATGACACGCCAAATATAGCAAGGTAAAATGATCCCTTGCTAGCTATTGGTTGCAGAAACCTTGGACTAACGTCGGGGTTAATTATCTAGGCTCTATGGGGTGTTCATAGGATGAGACGGCAGAGACGCAGCCCATCGCCAGTGTGCCGCTAAGCGTTCACACGAAAATTACAATCGGCTATCGTACACCATGAATAGAGAGCGAAATGATCCGGGATAACAGCGAGCTTAAACAGCACATTATCGCCGAGGAATTATCTATCTTGGGGATCTCATTCCGCGAATACTTTTCTGTTTCCGATGGGGCACAGTGTTTCGGCTCAAGCACTTGGGGCGCGACACATGTACCAAGAACCAGAACCAAAACAACCGAGTACTCGAATCCTGGGCAAAGTTTTCGTATATTCCACGGTGAATGATCAAGACGACAAGAAGACGGTGGACCACCACCCTTGGGTTTGCTACTTCTATGACGGGAATGGGCTCCAGAAAAGCCTTCGCAATACGTCTCGTAAATATGCTGGTCATAAGCATTAGGAGTCCGCCGACAGCGGCTCTATAGGCATCGAAACCAAGGATCGAGTGTATTCTCGACTCGTTCCCATATGAGAACGAGAAGACGTCCACTAGTGTTGTTTGGGTCTTGTTTGTACGTGTATACTACCCACGAAGCCCACCTTCTTTCGACCACGTGACCGGACGCCACACCAGGACCGTATGTGGATAAATCTTTCG